TGTAGTATTAAATAAAGAACAATATATCTAGAATATTATTTTTAGTGCTACAAATAATATAATGGGTTGAAGAACTTTAAAGTTTATACTATCTTTTACACAATAATGTTAAGTATAGTATAAAAAATAATGTTAAAAGTTAATGATAGTTTAAGTGTAAGTTAATAGTTTAAGTGTAAGTTAACACTATACATTTATTTCCATGAATGTGGTTTTCTATAAACATATTTTGTTGTTTCTCAGCATATTATTATTATTTTTTTCAATTAGGTTTCTAACATGCAGGTTTCATGTATATGCTATTAATCTTTTTTATTCTATAATTTTATTGCTAATATATACAAAACTTTCATTTAAACATAAATAACGGAAAAACTATTATTAAATAGCTATTTTAATTTAGTAAATTATATTACATAGAGGTCGTTATATAACATTGAATCACTTATATATATATATATATATATATATATATATATATATATATATATATATATATATATATATATATATATATATATATATATATATATATATGGGTAAAGTGAATATACCTAACAATCTTATATAAACTTAGGTACCTAACCACATTATACTACATTGTTTTGCATTATATTTCCATTACAATTGTCTAAGGTTCTTAAACTTTAACTCTCAACTTGATTTATTTCCAAGATTTTTAGACATTCATCATTATATTCCTCCTACATCATTTGATTTGTAACGGTAGTATACGAAGCCCACTAGGGGATCTCCGATAGAAAGACGTCATTTGAAGGAAGATAATGGTGAAAGTCCAAAGATTTTGGAAGCAATCAAGTTATGAGGTTGAAGTTTAAGAACTTTGGGTGATTACAATGCAAATATGATACAAAATTACATAGTATAATGTGGTTAGGTACCTAAGCTTATATAAGGTTGTTAGGTATATTCACTTTACCATATATATATATATATATATATATATATATATATATATATATATATATATATATATATATATATATATATATATATATATATACCTTTTGTTTATATTTGTTTGCTAGTTTTTACACGTATGAACTAGTTTTAACAATTTCCGAAAACACAGACCATTCTAAAAATAATAAAAAAACGTAAATAGTTATTGTGATTTATAGTTCTAATAGAGATTTTGATACCACTTTAGGAGATTGATGTATAAAAACAATCATAACAGTACAAACAACACAATCATTAACAGTTTAATTTTTATCAATCCCAAACAATCAACTCATAGCGTCTAGAAATGTACCTCAAACAGGAGAGAAATTATCAATAACATATACTTGTCATTGTTGATCCATACATAGGAGAGAAACAAGAGCTAATAGATTTCTAATGGAACAAAATTCATTTGCTTGCTTAGGATCCGTCCAAAGATACAGTGGACTCAAGACAAAAAAAAATACTCAAAATCATGAATATAATAAAAAATAAACCGAAAATAGATAAATCGTTATAAAATTTACTATTAAAAAAAATATGATCACAACATTATAAAAATAACTAATTTAAAGAAAAATAGATTTTCTAGCATTTTTAGATAATTTAATTTTATTTTCCATATATACTGTATAATTTAAAAATTTTAGACTTCTTAATGTCTCTAAGAGAGGAGATAACAAGCTATAGCTAGGATTAGCTTTAAAGGATCTCTTAGGGTTTGGTATCTTTTTTAAAGTTAAGCAACTGATGTGACAAAGCCTCCCTTTATTTATGACCATTATAATCTTTGTTTTTAAAAGTTTTCATTGTCGATTACTATACAAAAACTAAGTCGATTACTATACATAAACTAAAAACCCTTATTGTTAAATTTTAATAATTAACCTTATCTAATATTAAAACCTTTTACTAATTAAATAAATAAATTTTAATTTATTTATTTACTATGTAAAATTATTGAACTAATTTTTAAATCTTATTTATTAAAACCTTTTATCTATTTATATAACATATATAATATGATTAATCCATAAATAGATTAAACATGTGGAAATAGATTGTTTATTTGTATGAGAATGCTTCATCTAAAGGGGTTCGACCAATCCTCATCGACAATCAAAATCAAGTCTCATACATCATTAACAAACGTCTAAGTTGCTTGGAACGAAGCGTTTTGATTTTTCCTTGACAAGCTTGACGTTTGAGATCTTAATGCTCCAACTTGAAGAGAGTGAAGAAAACTTTATATTCTTCTATTTTAACAAATTTATATCCTATCTAAGAGTTTTATTTACAGTTATTCTTTTTCTAAATTTCTTAAATTCCAAACACAACCTAGGAATATTTCAATGGTAATAGAGATGGTGCTTTGTGTTGTAACAAAACTAATATCTTCTCAGTTTCTTTTGACTTTTGAGATATCAAATACCTTACTTTTTATTCATATCTATCATCCTACTTAGTTGATGAAGACGAGTATCAAAATCAAGACAAGAAATTATGGATAGAACTTTATGAATTTCACATACCATTGTTTTATATGAATAAAAAGAAATATCAGTATAAAATATAAATAAATAAATAAATATATATATATATATATATATATATATATATATATATATATATATATATATATATATATATATATATATATATATATAATTTATCATTTCTTTTTTCTTGAGCATCTCTATCGATTTATAATTAAAATTATGCCCCATTCTTATATCTAAGGGAGTTCGGAGTGGCATGGGAGGGGCATTTTTATGTTGGTGGTACCGTTGGGAGGCTTATATCATGGATGGGTGAATTAAGGTGTTGTTTGTTTTTTTGGAAAAAACTTCTTCAAACCTCTTACTGCTGCGCGGCGCCGCACACACGCAACACTTTTCATCTCGCAGTTGTTTGTTTTTTAGAAGTCTTCTGAGTCAAAAACCTCTGCGCGTGCTCTGTTTGGCGCAACACTTGTACTGTCTCTTCCAACCTCTTCCAACCTCTTCTTCTTCTTTTTTTATTGCTGAAATTTTGATTATATGTTATTAAAATTTTATTTCACATTTTTTTCTCTTTTTTTTTCGTTTATTCTTATTGAATTTATTTTTCATTTTTTTTATATTCAATAATGATAATTTCTTGATGAAATATTATTATTTTTTACTGAAAATATCTTTATTTTTTGTTGAAATATCATTCTTTTTTACTGAAATATCATTAATTTTTACCGAAATGTTATACATTATTAAATTTTACGTATTAAAAAGCTATTTTCGGTTTATAAAATTAGTTTATTTTAATTTTTTAATATCTGCAGCAGTATGCAGATGTTAAAAAAACAAACACGCTTCTTATTATAGTCTGCAGCCGTTTGGTCCACCTCTTCTACTGCAGAGGGTTGCAGAAGTGGTCCGCAGACTTCATGGATTTTTACTTCAGAAAATCAAATAGCACCTAAGACTTTGGCTTTAAAAACAGGTGGAGGAACCCGCAAGTGGTGCTAATGGCTCAATGTATCGTTGTTATTATTATTATTATTATTATTATTATTATTATTATTATTATTATTATTATTTTCTAGTATAAAAATTTTCTTCTACCATTTTAAAACCACATCTTATTTATTTCAATTTTATTTCATTCTCATATACTTCCTTTACCTTATGATCTTTTAATTTCATTCCATTTTACTATATTCTCTTTACATTCCAATTTAAAATTTGAAATACATGTCATTCCAAGGGTAATTGTATAAATGGTATGAAATTGAAGAAATGGCATTGGCTTAGCATATACTTACACTTTAGAAAATAACCCCATGATTTAGCATAGAGTGCCATATTTCTTGCAATTAACTCTGCATCATTTTAGGTAGCAGTTTGGGGTTCTGATCGTTCAACACATCAATTATTTTATTAAAATGAAAAGAAATGCAAAGAAAAATGAAAAGTTTAATGCTATCTTCACCCACAAAATGAATATCCGCAAACCCAGAGTTTACGACGAATAAGTTTAAAATGCAAAAAAAAATGATTATCGCGAACAATATAACATGAAATAATCTCGTCACGAGGCGGAGTAAAATATTCTAAAGAATCGCTCTTTTTTTTTTTAGAATTGAAGTATTTATTTTAGTTTCTATTTATTGTTTGTAGTATGTTTTTTTTTGGTCATTTCGTTTGTTGGTTTATAATTTAATTTACGTTATTCTAGTGTGGTTTAACTTATGTTATTGTAGTATAGTTTTTTTATTAAATGTTATTTTTAATTAAGTTTAATGTTTTTTTATTTTGTTTTAAATTAGTATAAGTTTATTTTAAAGATTAAGAAAATTATAATAAAAGTATTGTTTTACTTAATTTTTTAAAGATTTCTAATTTAATTGAATTAAAAATAATTATGTGGTAGTGAATTGAATGGGTTGGGAGATATGTTATTTCCATGTTTTATGGGTTAGAAAAGATAGAAGAAAGAGAACATAGAAAAGCAGATGTGCTAGTGGGTTTAATAACTTGGGAGAAAACCACTCATACCTCCCACTACTAGAAAAACAACATTTTATGACGCGTAATGCGTGTCTTAAAACGCTCAGACGATGCGTAAATGCATATCAAGGAAGGTCATGTCATAACGAGAGACGACACGCATTTACGACGCGCATTTATGACGCGTGTTTACGACATGTAGTGTGTATCAAAGAAGCCCCTGTCATAAATGAAGATGATGTGTATTTGCGTGTCGTGACCTTACAACGCACGTTTGCGACACACATTGCGTATCATTTAATCCCCTGTCATAAATGAAGATGATATACATTTGCGTGTCATAAACTTCAGCAACCATTTACGATATACATTTACAACGCGTCTTTACGATACTCATTTACGCGCAGTACAAAAATATGGAAACAAATATATACCAAAACAATCAATTTCATGCATAACATCATGTTAAAAAATTGTAATACATTGGTATAAAGGGGATCCGATTGTACATTGTTATTAACAGATTTTCCCTAACTATATGACCTAATACTACATTGCTATCAAGGGGCACCTTCTTGTTTCAGATATCATGTCCACATCATAAGCTTTATTTCTCTTTTCTTTTTTAGCAATAGGTGCCATAACAATTAATGTATCTTTATCTCCCCTTTCCTTTGTAGCTTGGTCAAGAACATCATCTCCACCCTACAGAGTAAATGAAACAAAAATAATGTAAGAGAGAAACATGTAGTCTAAATGATTCAAAACATGCATGTGAATTTAACTATCCTTACAAAATATGTGAATTTAACTATCCTTATCAAGTCCTAACTTTTCACAAGTTTCCCCTTATTCACTTTTCAAATATGTTTTTTACATCATTTATCATATAACACTTCATCCAAGACAGCACTTATGGGGGAAAAGAACCAGGGTCTTAGTAACTGACTTTTTGCTTATTTACCAAATAATGTCAAGAATTAAAGGCTTCTCATAGCACTAAATATACACACATAAGGAGATCCTGTCCTTTGCATATAATAATGAGATTGAAATTGAGAATTCTCCAGTAACTACTATAAGAAACGCTAAGAATGGATAGAAGACTATTGTAAAACATGATTTTAATCGATGAAAGTCCATCTTCTGCACCAGACCTATCTTGCTTTTTTCTACGCTCAGTCACATCTGTTGGTATTTGCCAATTGCTCAATTGATCAACAAACCAGATAAAGATTAAACTTTTATAAGATACAAGATGTTTTAAAAATAGGAAGTTAGTAAAACAAAGTTAAAAATAGAGCTCTATCTCAGTTTACCTTAGTTTTAGCCATCATTTGAGGCTCAGCCTTCTCAACTTCAGCTGGTGACATAAAGGTTTCTTACCTCAGTTGTATTCCCATCAATTCATTCACTCGTTCCTTCAGTCTCCCAACTATTTTATAAACAAGCTACCATTTATATGTGGAAAATGGAAACACATAAATTGACCAATATAGGCAACAACAGGATTGTAGTATGGCAAATTTGCCATGTTAGAAAAATATATTTTATAAAATCATAACCAGATGCTTTGCTATTTGTGTAACATCCTTGTCTATAAGAGTATGCATCTTCGAACAGTTATCACATGTTTTCTTGCAGCTTAAAGGATCCAATTTTTCTCGAAAATGAACAAGTTGTAGAAAGCGTCGACAATCAACTTCATTCTCACAGTAACCGACCCGAGGTAAATAAGAAGTGGTTATATTTTATAGATTTTGATACTATTTGTTTGTATGATGATATGCTCATATTAAAGTCAATAAAAGAAATATCAGAATTAATTACCATGCGTAAAAGGTTCTCTATATTTGCTTCCAGTAGCCTTCCAGAATTTAAAGTACTTGAAGTAGATGAAAAGGAGCTCTTCTCTATGGATCCATGACTAAGCACATGTTTGACCCGAATCTTCAAAACAATTTAAAAGGTATTTAAGAAAACAAAATGAAAATGAGGGAAAGTTTCTAAAAGGTTAAGCCTTCTTTTCATGAATTTCCTATTAAGTTAATCTTTCTGCATTAAGTATAAAAAAGAAACAAATTGATAAGGACTAACATAATCACTATAACTATAATACAGTATGCAAGAAGAATGTTGCCCATCTCTACCACACCCACATTCCTACAACAAAGTGTTCCATGAGAAGGAAGAAACAGCAACACTTTCATTGAATTGTACTTTGAAAAATCTACAAGTTATAAAAATATCATCTAAATACATAGATTTTTTAAAGTGAAATGTGGTCACAAAAGGTACTTGATGGTAGGCTTCAATGGATTTAGGAAGAGAATGATGAATGAAAAATCGAACATCCGATTTATTTATACCTAAAACAATCATTTTTATAACATTATTATTAATTACTTTCATAAAAAGACTAGATCACATTCTTCCATACCCATTCCAAATGCCATAGTTGCGAATATTATATTAACCTCATCTTTACTCCACATCTTTTGAACAGATACACGTTCATTAGGATCCATACTAGCATGGTGAAATGCAGCTTTGTGCCTAAATTCCTGAAAGATGAGTAACACCATAAACCCTAAAAATAGCACGGTAAAATGCAGCTTTGTGCCTAAATTCCTGAAAGATGAGTAACACCATAAACCCTAAAAATCAGAAGTAACTTACTTCATCCATACACAAAGAGAAAGAAAGTAGAGCACAAAAGCAGAAACCTGCAACTTTTTAGCAACTTTCTCACAGTCCATCCTTGAAAGACAATAAATGATTCCACATTCATCAAAATGATTCTCCTTAATGAACGTGTCAATATCCTCCATACATTTTTTCGTTTTGGGTATAACTGAAAACCTGAAATATTAACATGTTTAATATGTCAACACATTGAAAATCCCATTATAATTATATTCAAATGATCAAATCATACCTTAAATTTGGGCGATTGAAACTTTGCCTGAAAATAATACAGTCAAGAAGACCAAGAGCCTGCACAACATCTTCTTTGACACTGGCTGTGGCAGTAGTAGTTAATGCCAACAGGGGTATATTCGGAAACTTTTGTTTCAAAATACCAAGACTTTGTAAATAGTACATAGCAATGTTGTTATATAAGAACATAGAAAAACCACAATGTTTTGAACAAATTTGTAACATATAAAAACCTGGTAATCTGGTCTGAAATCATGCTCCCATTGGCTTACACAATGTGCTTCATCAATCACAATTCTATCTGGCAATTCTCGTGCATACAAGTTTTCTAATTGTCTCAATAAAGTGTCACTTCTGCACTCATATATCAAGTCACTAAAATGTTAGCAACATGATAAAAGAAATAGCTAAAAGAACTAAAAGAATAAACATAAGCACTCACTTTGCTACTTTTTCTAGAGTGACATATAATAGTTTGTAATTGCAATGCCCTGAACAAAGATCTCTGAGAATGTCTTGTTGTTTGGTCCACTCCATATTTGAACTTAGATAAGCAGCAGGTATATTTGCCTGTTATTGTATCCAAACACAAGATTTGATGTTCACTATAACAGATAAATGTGAATGTTCATAGGTTAAGAAATATCAATATGTACATACCTGCAATAAATGCATTATTTGATCTTGGATTAGAGAAACAAGAGGTAAGATCACCAATGTGACACCTAGACAAATAAAAGCAGGTAGCTGCAAGAAAAAGATGCAAGAAACATTTAAACTCAATACATTGGACATAAAAAAGCACAATTCTTTTAACCAGACTCTTAACATTTGTAAGCAATTAATGAAATAAATCTATAAGCATCCAAAATCATTATAAAATGGTATGTAGTACCTGATATGTGAGAATTTTTCCACCTCAAGTTGGCATTAAGACAAAAACATCATTTCCACTCATTGTTGCATTAATCACTTCTCTTTGGTTGGGACGAAATGAATGATTCCCAAACACCTTCTTGTTATTAGGCCAAGTAATTTTACAAGAAAGAATCAAATAATAAACTAATATTTTCAAATGCTACTTATTATTGCAAAAATAGGCCAAGTAATGGTAAAATGGTAAAAACATTTTCCTTCAATAATTCTGAAGATGAATAATTTTACAAGAAAGTGTAAGGTCCTGAAACGGATCTTACCCGTGATCAAGCAAACAAAACAATCAATAATCATGAGAATGAATTAGAAACGGAAATCAATAGAAGCTTGTACACGCTTCTATTAACAAAAACGTCTGGTACAACTCGTTTACAGCAACCGTGAACTCTATGGCATCAATAACCATTAAATGACCTACAAGACCTCTATATATAGTGACCTGGGCCGACACTAGGTTTACGGCTGTAAACAGCTTACGGCCGTAAACTCACACTCTGGCCATAAACTACTAAACAGGCTACCAAAATTGCATTCATACACAAAAGAACCTATTACAACGAAAGCCTAGACCAAACCATTAAATAGACCCTTCAATCTCCCCCTTGGTTTGATAATATCTTGAAGTTAATCTTTGTCAATCACCATTACATCTGCCTACCCCATTGCCCCATTCCACATGTGTTTATTAATGATCTCAGCAACCATGGACGTGTATTCCTTCGCGCTTGCTCAAAAATCTACTCAGCAACTTTAATTTGATGAAGGCTCAGATGATGAATGTCCCATTTCCTGAACTTGAACAATTCCCTTCGATCATACAGACGGATGCATCCATTTTTTAGTTTGATAGCAGCAGACACTGTAGTCTCATCGAATACCCAATAAAGCATGCAGCTTAGGGATCCATCCGGGTAACTTTGAAGCATAGGGATTTGTTTGACCTGATTGGTTGCAGGCCACATCACCACCTGAAGTGGATGACCAGTTTTGGGTTCTATGACATCAGGATAATGCTTTATGACAGACTCAACAATCTTCATGGAAGGGAAACCCTTTTTCACCTGATCTTCTGGGAAAATGTTTGAACTGAGTTGTCTATTGATTATCTAAGGGGTTTGCAAAAGAAGATTGGGATAGCTCTGAAAGATCCACCCTGATCCACGAATTGAAATCATGACAATCTTTGTAGAACTCCGTGTTGCCACCCTTTCTCCGCACGATCCACATATTTAGGGTATCATGAAATCCCCAAGAAATGATCCCTGACCGATCACCATACGTATCTCTAAAGCGTACAGCCTCAAGATCTGTAACAGTGGTTGCTGATTAATTCCCTGGTGCATTTTTGTCAGAACTCCTCTTGCACAAGAGTTGTCCCATTTGAGCAGCTTTAGCTTGTCTATCACGAATAATTTCTGCAACATGTGGAGCATGAGCTGGCTCTTCTTCAAAACGATCTACAACCCATGAGGTTTGAGCAATTGGCACGACAACAGGGTGATCTTGAATATGAAGATTGATTTTGTACTCATGTGCATATGTTTTATATTTGGCACCAAGATCTTCTTCAAGCTTCTTCTTTAAATCAAAATAACTAGAGGTTAGGAGATTAAAGTGGGCTTGAAGCTTAGATATTCGCTTTGTCTTTATTGCCCGATGATCCTGAAGATCAGAAACTTGAATTTTCAGATTCGCATTCTCGCTTAAAAGATCTTCGACTTGAATGTTGAGCTCTATATTCTTCTGTTCAAGCACATTCACTCTCTTCTGAAGCTCATCAACCACAGAGTCATCTTCTCCTGAATGACCTTCTCTAAAAGCAACTCCTTTAGCTTTAGAGGAAGGTACTGCAGTTTGTTCCTGGGCAAGATGCAAAGCTAACCGCACAGAGGCCTCATCAAGATCTGCCCTTGGAGTAGAAAATCCTAGTGGAGCAGAGGAGCCACCAGCTTCAAAGATGGTGCTAGGACCTCCACATAAAGTTTATGTTGATACGATAGTAGGGGTAGTTGTTGGCGTAATCAGCAAGCCATGAGTCAAGTTAGAGTCCAGAGGCCCAAACCTAGGATCACGTCTTCTTCTCTTAGATGGAGGCTATAAGGTCCGGTCTGTTGTACGATCACCCTGAAGTGGTTCAAATATAGGTGAGGCACCGTCAAGGGGAGGAATCCCTGAGACTGTCACCATTGGAGTTGTAGAACTAATCACTTGATTGGTAGAAATGGGTATTGAATCAAGAACATCTTCAGAATCCCTTATCTCCGTTGCTAGGAGAGCAACATCATTGATACTATCAAGCAAAGTGGTGAGGTTGACATTCAACAAAAAGTCATCATTACTTCCAAAATTGGTTGGAATTTCATTGCTATCAAAACCTGTAAGGTCAAGGTCTTCATACTGATCAGTCTCAGTTGCATTCATGGAAGACCCTTCATTGTAATCACTTTTGATTCGAACTGATCGCAGGTCATGCTCCTCAGCTACAGCCACATTAGGAGCAACTGTCTCTTCCCCTTCCTGGTCTGATATAGTGATCACATCTCCTTCCGAGATCACCCTTTCTGATGAAGTGTGCTCTGAAGATATCTTATCATAAGATCCGTGGGACTCGGACGCCTCATTCGGCTCAGCAAATCGTTCGAATTTAACTAGTGGATAAAGTCCTTAAAAGGTAAATTTTCCCTTGTGATTTTGTTTAATGACCCCAATAGTGTGAGGGCCCAAGGACTTCATATCAAGTGTATCTCCCTCCTTTACCATGTCAGGAAATTGTTTGTTGATGAAGAGTTGAATAAATCTAGAATACATCAAGAAGGTATCCCGTGTGATAGCATTGATGTTGACCACAAACTCGTCCAGGATAAACCTTGAAAAGTTGAAGCCAATTCCTGCAGCAAGAGAAACGATAGCTCCAGTGTTTCTCAGGGATATTTCATCTGCACCATACCTCCTGCTGGAGATGTAGCTCACGAACACATGGGCTAGGAATCTCCAGTAGGGTGGCAGAAGATTTTTCATTGTAGGAGGAGAATCGCCTTCATACCCCATCTTCTTCAAAATTTTCTGAGCATATTCAATACCAATTTTAGTGGGAAAAGTCAGTAGGTCATTGATCAATAATGTCTCTCTGATGAACTGCTCATTGATCATAACTTTGCATCCTTTAACGATTGCGTCTACAGTCACTTCTCCATCATCGTCTCTTGTCATCTTGGCAGTTTGCCAGAACTCTCTTATGATATTCTGATAAACAATGGTGTTCATGCTGATGGCGGATGCCAAACAGCATTCTCTTAGTCCATGAATCATTGACTTGAGATCTACATGGGCCACCGCAGGATCTGCCAGTACCATTGCTAGATTGTGTATGTCTGCAAACTTTAAGGCTGCCATTTGATCTACACTAAAACTTACTAAGTAAGACAAGAAAGATATTTGAGCAAATAATATTTTAAATGATTTAAATTCGAGCCGAAAAATGAAGTGTATTTTTTTTTTTTTAAATTAAGTTTAGAGTCAACCAGGAGTTTATGGTCAACGTGAGGTTTACATCCGTAAACTCGTGATCGTAAGCCTATGGCCACAAACGGAGTTTACGGCCGTAAGCTCTTCATGGCCGTAAGCTTGGGTCGTAAACTCCGATGAGTCCTTTTTCATCGATTTCAGGCTCAAAACTCGTCAAATCCCAGAAGTAAACACATATCTATGGTCGGAATCATGATACGTTTGAAGTGATCGAAGCAATTTCACAAATAACAAAAAAAAAATCAAGGAGAGAGAGAGAGAGAGAGAGAGAGTTTGCGGCCGGAATCTGAAGAATGAGTTGGTTTCCGGCTGTAAACTCTATTTATACATTTGACCCTTTTACCTGCTGACCACACATTGTAAGGCACAGTCCAATATTTTCAAAAAATTTCAAAAACAAAACTTTTTGAGGATTAAAATTAAAAATAAAAATAAAAATAAAATAAAATAAAATTTCAAAATTTATAATTAACAATTAAATACTAACAAATAAATAAAATAAAAATAAAATAAGACAAATAAAATAAACAACCTAAAAATTTTAATTACTGAAAATAATTTTTTTGACATTGGGATCAAAGTTGTTGGACAGCCATATTCCACTTATCAGTACCCTTATTTTCATGTCTTCATCTGATCGATCGCCACTATTGTGGTCCACTTAAGCACAAAACATTTGTGACAGAATTTGGACAATTTAAGAATAACACTACATTTTGAGCCCTTATTCTTAAATAAATTTCTTTGGGACCATTTAGCTGAGTACAACCAGGGATATTGTTGTCCACCTAAATTGAGCGGTGAGATCTACATACAATCTGTATGTGTTCAAATTTAATTGTACTAGAACATGTTTCTTGCTTCTTGATATGCTCCAGCAATCCAGGACTTCCAAAATACTCCTTACACCGGGTGAGCAGACAATTATTAAGAGAGAAGATATATTTAGATTGCATATGCTATACATCAAGGTCGGATCTCTTCCAATCATGCAGAGGATGAAACATATGACTAATTGAAGTTTTAGAGGGATTGAGAAGAGAATGATGCATATAATGTGTACGACGTCGGATTGTAAGTCATGCAGAGGAGACAGTATATGGCTAATAGATAGAAAGAATTGTATAGAGAGAAGATGCAAAGAAATAGAATTGCATATGTTACAGTCTAGGTCGGATCTCTCGATCACGCAGAGGAGGCAACATATGACTAAC